TTATCATTACTGTTATTATTATCATCATTTTCATTAATATCATTATCATTCTTCTTTTTCTTCTTCTTCTTATTATTATTATTACTATTAACATTATCATTAACATCATCATCATCATCACTGTTATTATTACTATTAGTAATTATCAAATTTATCATTACAGCAATACAATCATCATCAGTAATTACATTTCATTTTTATCATTTTTATATTAGGCAGATGAAAATAGTAATCTAACAATATGAATAGTTCACATAAGCAAATTTTATACACTTACTAATTTTCAATCAGTATCCTGCATTGAAACATGCTATAAAACACAAAGCAAATTGTTCTAATAAACAACTTATTCTTAAAATATCAGCTATAAAAAAGGTCACTCAAAAAAATCTTCTTTCTCACCTTATAAGCCATTGTAAAATTGATGGAAGCTCAAAATATATCACAATACGGAAGAACACCTAAAGAACAACACCAGGAGAGCTTGACTGTCAGGAACTACCTTGGCGAGCAGCTGCAAAGTAATTTATCATTTATGAGAGAGAAACGAATATGTATAAAATGAGGAAATGATAAAAAGTAGGAATACTGTCTAACTTTTATTCAACCCATTTTCTACAGACTATGTTTTTTTTTTCTACTACAAATATTAGTATTCAAGATGATTTTCCAAATTTGTCATGAAGGACTGATTGTTTTCATTACTTTGCAGGGTATACTAGCTTCTTAAAGTATCTTAATAATAATGTAGATTGCTATCTTATACAGCAATGGTATTATTTGACTATTTCCTTTTTTCTCATACTTTTTATATATTTCTTGTATCTAATTTACAACAATCAGTGGCAGTAGTTATACTCATAAACAGGAGAAACTACACCTCATTTCTTATGAGAAAATACACCTGAAAGATCAGTTGAATGCAACACAACAAAGTGAAAATGCATTTCAATCAATCATTCCCATTAAGCTGTCAATCATCAAATAATCCTCATCACCAATTTATCACCCTGTCATCAATCATCATCAATCTATCAATTGCATATTCTAGTCTTTAAAAAATGAAGTACAAATACAGTATCTAAAAACCTAAAAGTGATATAAGATGTCATATCACCTGAAAATGCTTAATTCTAATAAAATTTGTATTTTGCAAAGATGCCATGAACATAATTGCTCAACTGGAAGAAGGGTATTCGGGAAGTATCCTGTATTAGAATGCGTAGTGTGACGAAATTACCCAAATGATCTCTGCGCTTTGTACTTTGATAAAGATCAACAAACCATTGTGTATATTCTTGCAAGATAGAACTTAGGTACATTTCTTAACTGGCAAAAGAAATGACCAGGGAAGCCTAAAACTTGATCATGCTAGAATAAACTTGGTAAGCATTTATCAGTTGTTGCCACAGCCAGTGCTTGGGGTACTTTCATACTTTTTTAGTATCTGATTGTGCTATTATCTTTACTTATGCACAGTCACCCATATAGCATACATTGTCAGTATGGTTCATTCATAAGGATGAATAGCTTATTTCTCTTTACATATATGTACTTATTCTAAACATTATGAGTCAAAAAGTCATATGGAATATCACAGGAAAGGGAGGCCGTAATTTGATGGGAGTACGAGAAAGCTGTTACGCGAACTGATTGAAGATAATCCATTTCGTATTTGGTAACATGTCATTTCGGTGAAATATCCACCTAGACTGATATTTCGATTCTCTCCTGGATATTCACCTTTAAGTTGAACTAGATAACAATTACAATATGATATAAAATCCCATCAGTACATCCTGATGAATACCGTATCAAATTCTTATTCCACTCATAATTACTTCTAACACCTTGATTAACAATAACTTACATCTCATTACACTATTCCTCAAAAGCTCATCACTCATTAAGTTGTTCTCAGTTACTCATTTCAAGTGTAAAGAAGCTATTGTTTACTCTCTTATTTCTTCCGTCTGTGTATCATATGTTTCCCTTCAACTTTGTTTACTTACAGAGAGCATGACTATAGATGTAGGTCATTGTTTACAATTTACTTAGAGATATAGAAGATTTTTGGAGTAATACCTATATTCAGAACATTAGTTAATTTCTTTATCCTAATTATCTAGCTATCAAATCTCACTTGATTAAAAAACATATGTTTATATTCACGACTCCTCCTAGTTGAGAGATCAACCGGGGCCACCGTGCAGGCCTTTTTACTCTTCCGTAACAGCATTTCTGTCTTTCTCCAAACATCAGATGATAAAGAATAAACGGTATCATACGCTGATGAATATTAGATTACAATTACAGTGCGTAGGATCAGAGTCTGGTGATTATACGATTCCCTGCGTTACTTTCTTGTTTATTGCACTGCTTGGTAAATACATTACTAGTAATGTAACATTCAACAACATAAAATGTACCCGCATCTCTTTATAGAAAATGTATTAGATGTATAACAAGAAAATGCCTCATTGAAACTGTGAACATGATT